CGACAGAGTCAGAATCTGCATTTGAACTGGTGATGATTCTTAAATATAATAACATTTGAAAATCATCACTCCAAACTGTGTTTGCTGTACTTTATAAGGGAGTTTCATGTGCGTGGGTTCCATTTGCTGAGGATTTTGTCTGGAGATTCATAGCCTCAGATTCCTGCACCCCAAGAACAGAAGAGGGAGCCCTAATCTCCCAGCTGCCAGATCTTTCAACTGGTTGATTTCCTGTTCATGGGATTGGCTGGGTGAAATGAAGTATTAAGAACAGTAGAGGACAGAAAACAAAAAGTACCTGCTACTCCCTCTTGGTGGGGTTGGGGGCAGCAGAAGAGGTAGTAAAGCCCTGGGGTCTTGGAGAGGTACAGAGACCAGAGTCAGAGCAGAAAGAAAACAGAAATGAGACTGGGAAATACAGTCAAGATCTGGTGCTGTTTCTGTGTACTTGCTCTTGGAGTCTCCTTATTTTTCATCTTTTTAAAATTTCCCCTACATTTATGTTTTCTCTTCTCTGAAAAATAATGATGGTTGTAGTGATGATATTCTACATTCATATGATGTTCTATTCTATGGATGTAAGTATTTATAGGAGGCAAGTTAATTTTCTGCCTGCTTTGCAAATGAGGAATATTTCATGCACTTTCTCCCCCTTTTTTATTGGGTTGACATATAATATCAGTTCTCATGTGCCATTCATTTTGGCAGATTTAGGTGTGTGGGTGCACAAATTAATCTACCAAGTTTCTGCAATAATAAATTAGGTGAGGAATGCAGGGGAAAATAATACCATTAAGTACATTAAGCTCCTTATTTTAGAGATGACGAAACCAAGCCTCAAGAGTTTAAGTGATGGGATCAGGGTCCTGCAGAAAATGAGTACAAGAAATATGTTCTGCTCTGAACACTACACGGTATTCTCTAGTGCTATGCACAGAATGAATTTTAAAGAATCCATGAGTTAGACCTTAGCCTCATATCCAAGATGGACCTCATTTAAATGGTCCTCAAAAAAGATAACTACCTTTGCTTTTCTTTAAAATAATTTCCTGTGACTTCTGAGATAAAATACACAGATGTGCTTTGAAAACTGAAAAGCACAATCATTATTTCTAATAATGTTGGGAGCTTCCAAGATTCTATCCCTGGGAAGGTTTTCACAGGGTCCAAGTTCAGTGTTTTGTTCAGTTTGGGAATCCTTTCTCCTCAGGCCTCCAAGCAGTTATCTCTGGGAGCCATTAGGTTTACTGGCTCAATTCTGCATTTATGTGTCATTGCATCTCACTTTTGTTCTCAATCTCCATGCATTGACACAGCGGTGACTCAAGAGACCAAATGGTCCCAAGCCTTCTGTGGTTATCTACTTCACTCCTTTGCTTTAAAATTGAGTATTAATTTGAAGAAAATGGGATATGAGACGGATGAAATCTGGGCAGACCCATCTGGGTCCTCAGCAGACTCTTATAAAATTCTGTTTAGATTTTAAGATTCTTACAACATGTCTCACTTCTATTTTGATTTATTTCATAAACATTGCATAAACTAAGGTGGACCATACAGATAGTCTCTTCTTCTAAATGAGATTGTTGAACCAAAATCCTAAGAGGAAGCAAAACTTTCTTTGACTCCTTAAGATGCCAAATCTCCTTACGTCTCTGACACCCATCTGATGCTTTATTCATTTTGCCTGTGGCTCTGTATCAGCAGACTCTATGAGGCCTTCCAAGACCAGGCTGAACTGTGTGTTCACACAATGCACAAAGATGTGCTTTCAATTCTTCAGTTACTGAAATTGAATAACTGTTTTTTTCTTGAAAGTAGATAAAAGCAGAACAGATTCCTAGAGTTTATATAACATTGAAATAAATCCTTGAAAATTGTATTCACATTTTTTTTCACTTAGGTATATTTTATTTCTCTTTTATCATAAAATCTATAAACATAGACTAGCAAATATATTATGCATGAAAGAATAAATTGTATGAGAAGAGAACACATGCTCAGGAATGACTTTTAATCATTTAGTCAAGTCAGTTTTCTCCAGCTTTTTAGTTTTGTCTCCTATAGGGTCAGCCTAGCAACAGGAGAAAGCAATAAGAAGAGATCTTTGACTGTCTTGGTTTTTGACCTGGTTGCTGACAGCAGAGTAGATTCCAAAGGGTGGGTCAGAACTGAGGTGATGGGAAAGACTTTCAGAAGTGAATGTAATTGTCAAGATGTGATCAGAAAATGAACAGTGACTGGGAATTTTGCAAGGAACAGATGGCAAAAGTGGAGTTCAGTAAAGTGGCCAGACTAGATGGAGATTGGGTCCAGAACCAAGGAGTCAAAATGCAGGTAGACATGAGTGGAGGCCATGCCTACACTCTCAGCCCAGGTTAAGCAAAGTCCAGGTTTGCCTGTTCAGGCTTTAACCCAGGCAAATTCAGACAAGATGCTCACTTTTGGTGGTCTTTATAAAGCCATATGCATTTTCCAGCCAATATCCCCCACACCCACACTCTGAAGGAACCATTTTAACTGTTGACAAAAAACAAGTTAAACAAGAGAAAGTACTGAATGACTGTCTTCAATTGTCCCCTCCTCCAGTGAAATATTTAGGTAAGTGTGCATGGTGACAAGAAGCTCTTCTCTGATGGTGAGTGAAAAACTATTCTTAACAGTGTGTTTATGCATATAAGTTTTGAACATACTGCTTTGCAACCGGAATACTTTTGTGTTAAAAGACAAGAGATTGGTATAAGAACATAATCTGCCAAGGAAAGTTGAAATGAAGTGCTTGCTCTGCTCTGCATGAGTCACAGTTATAGGCAGACATTTAGAGTTTCCACACCATCCAGTGGGAAAAAAAAAAACAACCCTTGCTGGGAATCAGCTTTGGAAGACAAGGCAGCTGAGCTGATCTTTGAGCTGCTGGGTGAGCAAGTTTGACAGCCACATGGTGACCAGAGACATTCCATTCTCAACACACCCAGAGGGAACAGCAAGACCCAAGACAGTCAGAACAGCTTGAGCATTTTCACACTAATCCAGAAATCCTTTGTAATCTGGCTTTTATTTATTTCTGCTGACTCCATTCATTCATTCAAGAAATATTGAGAGTTGACCCAAGTAGATGCTGGGGAAGGAGTGCACAAAACAGACACGTCCCTTCTCTCATACTGCCTACAGCAGGGAGCTGACAACTGATTACACAATATAAATGTGACATGGCCACCATGATGTACTTCAAAGGAGAGATGCCAGATGCTCTGAAAATATGATATTAGGGAGATTTGACCTAATTAGGGGGCTCAAATTATCGTTATTAATTTGATATATTATTATTTTGTTATTGATTTGACCTTATTATTATTAAAATAAGAATGACAGCTAATATTCACATGTCACTTACTATATGCTAGACACCATTATAAGCACTTGAATATATTAACTAATACTGATCTCAATAAACCTATGAAGGAGATATTTTTATTTCTCCATTTTTACAGAAACTGTTAAATCCCATCCTCATCTATAAAATGGAGATTGTATCTTCATAAAATGAGGATTAGAGATAACAAGCAAAGTGCCTGCACTATAAATTATGGTCAAATTCTGTCTGTATTATGCTTACCAGGTCAAAAGACAGGAGACTAAACCTGTCATTCAGAAGACTCCAGTTTTTAGAAAAAGAAGAATGGCATTTATCTGAAGATGGGCAGGAGAGCAGGAAAGTGGCAGTGTGAAATCCACATTGACAGCAGGGACAGATCCTCCCCATCAGCTACAGTTCCCTCGCCATCAACCTTCAGAGTGGGGATCACAGGAGGGAAGAGTGTGTAGGGACCAAAGGTCTCAAGATTTGCTCACTGTGGACCCCTTGCCTTAGTTTTAGATAGTTTTTCTATAGTTGCTGTTGTGTATAGTGTTTTCGTACACAAAGAGAATAGAGAAAGAGAGTTTGCAGGATAACTGGGTAACTGCAAGAGAACATGATATCGTGAAAATAAGGGGATTTGGAGTCAGTTTTAGCACTTGGATAAAAGTCCCATCCTTGAACATGTTTTTAGATTTTCTGAACCTTAGTTTTGTCACCTATAAACTAGATGTAATAAAAACTTATCACTCAGGAAGCGTTAGTAACTTCCCCCATTGGCTCATTGTTAAATCTTTCTGAGACTCAGTGTCTTTATTTGAAAAATGGGAATAAAAATTGAACCTACATCAGGGAATTGACATTTAAATGGATTAACGTGTAAACTCCAAAGCATTATATAATTATCAGGTATTATTAATCAGTCATAAAATATTTGTGAAACCTATATACTAACTCCTATAATGGATGTTAGAGAAATAGTTTGAGGCAGGAGAGAGTCTCTGGGAGAGAAATCCATTCTTCTCCCTGGTCCAGAGAGAAAAGGCAGCAAAGCCAGGGGAAAGGCCTTGTGGCACTCACAGCATCCAAGTTCCTGCCACTTGGCTCTCCTGGATGATATCTGACACCCTAACCCAGCCATCAGCTAAGAGCTTGCCCAGACTGCCTGACCCAGGGCTCTAGGGACAGGACTGCAGGGTGGATTTCTAAATCCTCAATAAGTAGGCAAGGAAATCGTCACAAGAAACAAACAAACTAAAAATGACCTGAATGCACTGTGGAAATATTGTGCTGATTAATAGTGGAGTCTGTCAAGGACAAGGGAAAGAAAATCACTAGAGGTTTCTGTTTCTGCTTTGAGTTGATCGATCAATCTGAATACACTGATTTCTAGCCCATCAGTGCAGGCCACCTGCTTTAAAGCTTCTTTTATCTTATTCCCTCTTCCTTCTGAGAAGATATAAAACGATTAAGGGTTGGAAAGTTTCTTGCCCAACTTCAATTCAGGAGGAAGCTCAGCCACAGAACAGGCAAGCGTGGCATTGCCTCAGAGAAAAAGAGCTTGTAGAGACAGGTCCCTGAGAGATCCAGCCCAAATTTTTCAAACAAGGAACCTCCTTCATGATACATCATACATCCTAAGACTTTCAAGTACAGGAAGAAAGGATCTGCTTCACCATTGACCACCTGATACAATGCACCCAGCAGGGCCCTTGTGAGATCTTTCTCTACGATATGACCCACAGGGACAATGCAGGTTCTGTCGGCAGCCTGAAGTTTGTGACTTTTCTGGTTGCCCTAAGTCCAGTACTTCTACTCCTGGGAGCCAGAGTGCAGCTTCAAGACAACGGGTATGATGGAATACTTATTGCAATTAATCCTCAGGTACCTGAGAATCAGAACCTCATCACAAACATTAAGGTGAGTGGCAATTATCAAATTGATATCATGACCACATTAGATCAGTACTGTAGCCTTCTTTAAAGAACTAACAACCCTACCAGGTTTGTATTTGAGCCATAGAGAGGGCAAGATTATTTCTTCTCCTTCTCCTCCTCCTCCCCTTCCCCCTCCCCGCCTCCTCCTTCTTCTTCTTCACAGACAGAATGCCTTTATTTTATTTTTATGTGGTACTGAGGATCCCACCTAGTGCCTCACACATGCTAGGCAAGTGCTCTGCCACTGAGCTACAGCCCCAATCTGAGAGGGCAACATTTCTTAAAGATAGCACACACACACACACACACACACAAATAATGATTAGGGCCAAGGCAGTATGTTCACCTACTTCTGTATAGTCTCAGCTCACAGTGGGTTTTTTGGTTACTGCAAAGTTTGTTTGCTTTTTCTACTTGACTGGTTTTGGGATAGCAACTTTAAAAACTAACAACCCATTATGGCAAAAGAGACAGGATACTTGACTGATGAATCAGCATGATCGTTCTTATTAAAATCATCTTGTTGGATACTATCCTGATGATGAGAATTCTCAAATAGAAAGGTTGAGAGTGCGTACGGTGCAAGAGCAAAAAAAATCTCTCTTTTCACCTGAGTGGTGTAAAGCAATTGCCTATTTTCACTTGAATATGGCAAGGGAGGATCATTACTTAAAAGCCCCTTTTGGAATTGCTCGAGTGAAAATAGTTATCATCATAGGTGTGGTCTCAAACATGCCCACAGGTGTGGCATGAGAAGTTTTGTTCAGTAAAAGCTTAAAACCCTTTCAAAAAATTAGTAGAATCACGAGGGCAAGTCCAGACCTGCACTCTGATCTCTTCCAGATAACCATTGAAATTTTAATTTTTTTTTCTTTTGCTCCTGTGCTTTCATGAACTCCTTCAGAAAGCCAAAATATAAAGGTGTTATGAGTGATAAAAATAAGTTTGTCTTTTGTTTTATTATAGGAAATGATAACTGAAGCTTCTTTTTACCTATTCAATGCCACAAAGAGAAGAGTATTTTTCAGAAATATACAGATTTTAATACCTGCCACATGGAATGCTAATAATTATAGCAAAGTAAAACAAGAATCATATGAAAAGGTAAGCATTCAGGATTTCACTAAATGAGCTTAAATAAACTTGAGTGAAACAAAAAACAACAAAATAAACTGTGTTATTGATGTTAATGTACTGGGCAGAGTTTTATTGACAAAATATATGAACTGTACCCCATAAATATTATGATTATTTTGTGTCAATTAAAAATAAAAAATCCTTATTAAAAATATGAAAATAAAATAAATGAGTATAAATCATGGAGTGGAAAAATAAGTAAAATGCCATTGCCCAAGTATGTTTTTAGATCTTACTAAATAACTTATAGGATCCTTGCTGGGAAAAAAAAAAAATATATATATGTATATTTAATTGTAGATGGACACAATAGCTTTATTTTATTTATTTATTTTTATGTGGGGCTGAGGGTCAAACCAGTGCCTTACATGTGAGGGGCAAGTGCTCTACCACTGAGCCACAACCTCAGCCCTTGCTGAAATTTTTGGTTGAGGACCAACAGTCAGTTTTATCCTGAGGATGAGCAGTAAAGGGAGAAATTCCAAGGATGACTATCTTTATTCACCATCTTGTCAGAGGCAGTAACACACAGGTACAGACAAGAACACAAGCCACCCACGCATATAAAAATATGACTGCCTTCTCATGCCATGGTGTAAATTAGCAGAATTTCACTTTAGCCCAAGGCCAAGATGCTGGTTTAGGGAAGTGAGGAAATATGAAGGCAGGACAGAAGGTTATGAGTAAGGCAAAGAATGGCTACTGTTTTGGTTTTGATGTGAGGTGTCATCCAAAAGCTCATGTATGAGACAAAATGCAAGAAGGTTCAGAGGAGAATGACTGGGTTGTAAGAGTCTTAACCCAAGCAGTGAATCTGTATTTGCCAAGTGGAGACTGCTCTTCATATGAGCCACTTCCCTCTGCCACACTCTTCTCCCATGATGTTCTGCCTCACCTAGAGCCCCAAGGAATAGAGCGGGCCTTCTGTGGACTAAGGCCTCTGAAACCGTGAGCCCTCAGATAAACTTGTCCTCCTTTACGGTTGTTCTGGTTAGGTCTTTGAGTCACAGAAGTGAAAAAGCTTACTAAAACAGCTATCTTTTCTTTTCCAACTAAAAATGAATTACCCTTGAAGATCTCTCATGAACTAGAGATCAGGGTGCTTTCCCACAGGGATGCCCAGCTCATACTGGTATGTACAGTATAAATAAATGTTAAATCAGTTTGGTGAGTGACTATGAACAAGAGCCCATCACAGCTGCCAGGAGGGCCCAGAGTAGAGACACTGAGAAGAGCTTAACTCAGGGCATCAGTAATGGAGTAGGCTCGAGATTTGTTATAGTCCAATCAGAATGGCAGAGACATGTGGCACAGCTTGCCCCTTTCCTTATTTTTGTTATTTGGTATGAAATTTCTTAAAGTAATTTTAATTCTTAGCTCACATTTGAAGTTACTCTCAGAAACTGAATGGCATAGCAATGTAAATAGGTACCCTAGTGTCCTGAAGAAGTTAAAGACGTTCTTAAAAGCATTTGATTTCTGACCAGATGAAAGCATTTGATAATATTTCGTGTAGGGACAGGGTAAGTAAGGGAACTGGGACAGACTGGGGAGAAAGTACCAAGAATTTACATGTAGTATTTAATTATCATGCAGCCTGAAATTGGTTGCTGTTATTACAGATTAGGAAACTGAGGCTCATGGAAGGTCAACAGTCTGTCTCAAATCAAACACCTAATAAATTAGAGCCACAATTTAAATGGGTGTTTGACTTCAAAACCTATGCTGTTTGCACTAAGCTATGTAGTCTCTATGTGATTGATGGAGATTGCATTAAGCAATTTGGTCTTCAGTAGGACTGAGAAGTACTGGAGACACCCAGCATCAAAACCAGGTTGCCAAAGGTAGAACCCCTGATCGCCATCATGGGGAGAGAAACAAATAAGTAAAGCATATGTAACAATATTACTAAACAGAAAGACCAGCAGACAGATTAGAAATTGAATGCTATTCATGTATCTTTTGGGTGCCATTTCCTTTAACTTCATCATGTCAATTAAGCAAGCACACCGTGAATGATAATATGAACAGGACCTTGCTAGGCACTGCAAAGGACACAAAGACAAGCAAGGTAGCTCTTGTCCTTGTGAATCTACAGTATGATGTAGGTAGGAATCAGGGGACAAGGGAAAAGGTTAGGAAAAGTAGATAAGATCTGAATTACAATAGTCTATAAGGCCTAATGTAACCCAAAACAGCCTCTGAGTATCACCCATTCCATGCAAAGGAGTCTTTCTTTTTTGCTTTTGGTCAAAATTCCAAGCCTAGGAGTGATGTGTTGTCCAAATGAGGACTATGTAATGGCACAACCTCTTTAGCAGTTTTGGTAGGTGTTGTTTTTCAAAGCCGTTGGCTTTTTAAAATATAAATGTTAATTATTGTAAAATTAATTCATTACATCAGAAAAAAAATGAACAAGGTGGAAAAATGGAAAATATCTTCTTCCTCTCCTCGGTGGCAAGTGCATACATACATGCACATAAACAGACACCCACTCATAGCATATGTAGTGATAATTATATATTTAAGGTCATATTAGAAGTATTGTTGCAAAATAAACTTCTTTCTTCCCCTTTTTTAACTTGACAACATACTTAATTTCTAAGGGCAAATTTGGGACAAGAGAAACAATGTGATATATAAATTGATGCTGTCTTGATGGTTATATGAATAGGTATTTACTTTCAGACTTTGAATGTTGTGTTTTAGCAATCATAATTGAAATGGTCAGGACTTAAGAAGAAATGTAATTTCACTAGAATGACTGATTTCTTAATCAAATTGGTTATGGGAATGAAAGGACAAGGTGAAAAAGATCTTACTGCCTTCCCTAATGAAATAATCCACAAAAAGTTGTTTGTAAAAAGCTGTATCTCTTTACAGCACAGTTCTGAATGATATGTAAATGCTCTTAAAATCTCCTTAAATATTTTATTACATTTTATAGTGCTATAACATCAGACTTTTAACAGTGTTGACTTTCAAGTATATTTTAATCCTCTAGATTAAATATCCCTACCATTCTCTAAATGAGAAGATCAAAAGGAGGTAATGAAGCTCCACGGAAATTTGCTAAGCTTTAAAAGTAGATGTTTTTGAAAGTGCCAAATGATTTAGTTGATATTTAATTGTGAATGCATTCTAAGTTCCATCTATAAAGCATTTATTTTCTTCCTTTTTTATTTAATCTGCTCTTAAATAAGGGTATAATTATATACAGAAAAATGCACAAATATAAGGTGCACAGTGAAGATTGCTTTAACATACATTTATGCCAACAATATCACAGTCAAAATCTAGAGTACCGCAACATATTTCTTTTACTTTAGGCAGATGTCATAGTGACTGATTGGAATGGGGTACAAGGAGATGACCCATACACTCTGCAATACAGAGGATGTGGAAAAGAAGGAAGATACATTCATTTCACACCGAACTTCCTACTGAATGATGACTTAATAGCTGGCTATGGATCACGAGGTAGGTGTGGCTAATCAGAAAATAACTACTGTACATTAGTATTCCCAAGATCTTATGTCGGGTGCTCAAAAGGACTCAGAAAACCTGAAACTTATCAAGGACTTAGAGTTTGGGTGGGGCGAAAAGTCACATGCACATGCAAAGATGAGGAACTAAGAAAGTCAGGAAGAGTTAAGCACTAGGTTAATGAAGTGCTCTCAGAATTTAATAAAGTTTTGAGACCAAGGTGGTCCAAACAGGTCTCACAAAAGAAAAAGGCTTTAAAGTGTCATCTTTTGATTAATGAAGGAGAAGGAGAGAATAGCAGGAAGAGTGTGAATAAAGCTGTAGTTGTGAGGAACCTAGGCATGTTTGAGAGATGTATAGAAGGAGACCCCACGGATGGCACAGAGATTGGTATGGGAGAAAATACCGAAATGTACATGGAGCCAGGTGATGTGACAGCCCCAAATATTCACATGAGCAACTCACCACTGAAGGTTCATAAGCACAGGAGCGACACAGTGTTTTCAGAAGATTAGTTGGGTTGTGTGGATAACCTGACAAACTCAAATCAATGGGGGAGGACCTGGTTATCAAGAAAATAACTAGCAGATGTCCAGGTAAAAGGCCATAAGGCTTGAGGAAGAGTGAATGTGGTGAGAGGGGAAGGACAGGAGAGACAGTAACTAGAACACGAGGACTTCCTATGTGCCAGGTGCCCTGCTGTTTGCTTTTTAAATATTTTCTTATTTAATTCTAACAACTCCAAGTGATAAAAAATATTCCAGAATTTCAAAAGAGAAATAGAGGTCGGAACTGATACAGAGTGAAAAGCAAAAGGTATGTCCAGGAGGCAGTAAGGAACAAGGACAGCGCCAATTTCTTAGAAATAGAGGGACCGGTTGAAAGGAGAAACCCTTAAGTGTGGATTTAGGCAAGATGATGGTGAGGAGTCCCAGCCAGTCCTGCTGGGAAGTTAGGCCTGTGGTCAAATGTGGACTGGAACTTGGGAGAGAAGTCAAGGTTGCAGGCCACAGACTGGAGGACAGTGGGTGAGATCTGAGAAATTAGCGAGAACAGGTCAGTCAGTCAAGGGCTAAACTTCCAACCTTAACTTTTTGTTTGTAACTTACAGTAGTGCCTTTTAATGTTTTTTGTTTTTACCCTATTCAAATTTAAATAGATTTTGTTATTCTCTGTATAGTTAGCAGGGAGTTAAATGACATATTCTAAAAAATATACTTTGTAAAACTTTATCAAAACTGTAACGGGTTTTACCCAGACCAGCCATGAGCAAACAGAACCAGGTGTCTTAAGTGTGGCCTGCCAAGCTTGGATCCTGTCCCGCCTTACGGAGCAAGTCAGGTAGAGGGAAGGGCCCACCATAGAGACCAAGGCTCTGCACATCTAGATACAGAGATGCAACATAGTACCTCTCAGAGGAGCTTGCCTTCTAGAGACAGACAGACAAAGCACTGAAAACACAGTGTGTTACTGGCTTTCTATGAGTTATGCACAGTGTACAAAAGAAGAGATGAGATTAGAGAATCCAGCTTCAGCTCCCAGATAGATACTAACCACAGTGACAAAGAAATGAACAGTCCTACATAGGTTTTTCTTAAAAAGGGAGACCTGACAGCTGAAGAAATCGTGAAAATGAAAGTAGAAATAAAGGCTGTAAAAACAGATGAAGAATCAGCTCCAGCTGATGGAAGAATCAGATATTGAAAACCAGTCAAGCATCCCTCAGATGAAAAAATATTCATGTTTAATAAAAATAAGTAAAAAGAAGACAAATGAAGACAGAGTAGATAAGCAGGACTCAATTAAAAAAACAACAACTCACAAAAGCAAATCAAAAACAACAAACTCCTTTTTTTTGACAATGAAGAGGAAAATGAGTTAAGTGTAAGCTTGTTTGAAAGCATATGCAGTATTTTTAAAAGAATATTTTTTCCTGTGTCTTTCAAAATGATATTTTTCCTGTTATACTACAAATTCATTATAGAAAATAGAGAAAAAAATAATAAAATAAAATCTATGACTATCCATCAATACTCCTCTGCCTGGAAATGCCAACTTTGTAGATATTAACATTTGACTACTTGCCATATGTGTGCATATAAATTATATTTTTAAACAAGTAAAAAAAAATTATAAAGATTCTTTTCTTCCTCGGGCAACCACAAGATGCAGATTACCTCTGCACTGCTATGTATCTTTAGCACTCCCAAATTCCATGAGTAGGAACATTCCTTCCCTAACTCTCAGCTGGGGCCATTCTCCTCCTTCCCTCTGTCTCCAGATCCAAAATTGTACAACATGCCACCACCTAAGCCAACTCAGCAAGTACTTTCTGAGTTCCCAGAACTTACAGTGATTCCAAAAATAGAAATGTGTGTTTTGGGAGTGGAGTTCACCTGGACAATTTCTGGGGGAAAGAAGTAAGTTCTGATCTGAAGGAAATGTGAGTCAGAAAGGTAAAGTTATAAAGGATTTGATGCTGAGGATGGAGCTGCCATGAACTGAGTTGGAAATAAACACAAAAATGGAAAAATATGAATAAAATAAAAGAGAAAGGGACATTAAAGCTGCAAAGAAGATTGTGTGCTCTTGTTTTTTGTTCCCTACTTCCTCCCTGACCCTTAGGTTTCAGTCATTGCTGTAGATAAGAGAATTACCTGCAAGGAAAAAAGCAGGCACACTTGAATAGCACAGACTAGAGATAGGAAGTTCATTTGCTCGCCAGAATATACTTCTCCCCTTTCTCCAAACCCCAGATTTATAGGTCTCCATAAAGCTAAATAGAAACCTGTTAGATAGCTTCATCGAGAAAATGAGAGGATGTGGGATTCCTCATTAGCTTCTTGAAGATCTACAATAAGAAAATCACTGGTTTGCATTTACAGGACAAATATATTTCCATACTGCCTTTTTTTATGATGGTTGGAGGTGGGGTAGGAAGAGATGGGAAGGGAGGGTGGGAGAGGACTTAGACAGAGGTGTAGAATTGAGGGATATAACATATTCACTCATTAGTACGGCCCATGGCTCAGATTTTTGGGAGCTCAAAGGTAAAAGTTTTGTCTTCCACAGGCAGAGTGTTTGTCCATGAATGGGCCCATCTCCGTTGGGGTGTGTTTGATGAATATAATAATGATAAACCTTTCTATATAAATGGACAAAATCAAATTAAAGTTACAAGGTTAGTACTTTTTCTCATGTTTAAAATTTATTGACTCTAAAATTAATGAAATTTTCACTATGAAGAAATAATAAATGTTATTATTTTATTTTTATTTTATTCTGATTTTAACATTATGTGATATAAAAATAAAAAAAATAAGAATAAAATTAAGTTTATGCTGGCAATTAAAAATTAACAAGGAAGAGATCCTTCCATTTTTTGTTTTCAAATCTTGTTGCACTTTAATAAAAACAGGTAAATGTTTATGTGGTTCATATGTCAAAACAACATAAAAAGTTAAACTTTTAGCAGTCTCATTCCCAACACTATCTTCATTATGTTTCCTCACATCCACTCTAAGTAACCATGTTGATTAGTCTCTTATTTCTTTTCAGTATTTCTTCAGGAAAATTCAAATAAATATGAGTATATATTTTTTCCTCACCCCATTTTAAATAATTTCATTGTGTGGATATACCATAATTTATTCAACCAGTTCCCTCCTATTGGACACATAAATTATCTCTATTTTTGGTTATTCCCAATAACAATGCAGGTATTATCCATATGCCATTTCTCATGCATGCAGGCTAATCTATATGTCTGTTGAATTCCTCTCAGAAATACTGGGTCTGAGGGTACTCTCAACTGTGATGCTCACTAAATCGTCTCCTCAAAGTGGCAATGTTTTTCACTCCCATCAACAAGACTTGAGGTTGTTTATTGAGGAAGAAATCCTTTTAAGTATCATCATTACATCCTCATTCTCTTCTTTCTCTGATGTCCAGTGGACCCAAACCCAAAGTAGCACTGCCACAGCTATTGCTATTCATGCCCTTCTTTGGGTCTCCTACAATTCCTCTAGATTTCCTAGTAACTTTTGCTTTGACTCTAATTGGTTAAAACCTTTGATAATACAGAACACTTTCATCAAGACTCATGCTTTAAAATAAAGTGAAGTGCATTTCTAAATTGATGAGCTTTCTTAGTAGAGCAGTTTTAAAATGTTTATGTGTATCTAGCAAGCTCTAATCCTTGAAACAAATTATTATATAAGCTAGTCAAGAAGTAACATAAGTACCTCTACAAAAGAACCAATTCCCAGTTTTTTTTTTTCATTTTCAGATGTTCATCTGACATCACAGGCATTTTTGTGTGTGAAAAAGGCCCTTGCCCCCAAGAAAACTGCATTATTAGTAAGCTTTTCAAAGAAGGATGTGTGTTTATCTACAACAGCACCCAAAATGCAACTGCATCAATAATGTTCATGCAAAGTTTATCTTCTGTAAGTATGTCCTTGAAATGACAAACTCCTGTAAGGTTCCATCTCTTCCCAAGATAGTTGTATATATTTTAAGTACTTAAAAACTGAGGCCTTCCAAGATGATCACCAAATAAAGATTTCTTTATAAATGTGATAATTTGCTTCCCAGGAAAGTAAGTTAACAAGGGGACCCTGGAGACCACAAAATAAATGCTTATATGGTGGTGTTCCTGTATGCTTTGTGTGTTTGTTTCTTTTTTTGGTCCTAAGGATATTGAACCCAGGAGTGCTTTACCACTAAGCCACATCCATAGTCTTTTATTTTATGCCTTGAGATAAGGTCTTGCTAAGTTGCTTAGCAGTGGAATCAACCTTCGTGACCTGATGTACTATCCAACTTCACAAAGACCTTAAAGTCAGTCATGGGGTTGGGAACACTGTGGACACATAGCTTTGTGGAATTTTCTCTATATTTCTGTGGCGGACCAATGCCTCTTGTATTGAAACATTTCTTGCTTTCCTTTCAGTTAACTTTTTTCCCTCAGCTTGGTTCTAGTCAAGGTAAGGAGTCATTTGTAACTAAGATGATTTTTCATATTTCTTGTCCTATCCATTATGTTTTAAATTTATAACTTTAGTGTTGAAGCCAACGTAATTTTAGCACCACCAAAAAAAATTTTTTTTTCTAAAAGGGAGGTGTGTGTCAGGAAGTAGATTTAAGGTTTTCCCCTTATCCTATTTTTACAGGATCAATATTTGCACAAGATCAATATATGCTGATTCACAAATAAAGGTGCAGTTGTCATTTAATATGATTCCAATGGATAGGCTGGTCAAGATAATATCTCCTAGGGTGTTTCCTAACATAATATCATGCTAAAATAGGGAGGGATATTGTTTTATTTTTCTAAGATTGAGCTATACATACTGTCTGCTCTCTGTTATCTAAGTGCAAATAAGCTTTAAGATATTGCTGTCAGTACCACAAGGGTGCTAGTGTATCAAACAAAGGGTACCACAGTTGATTTGTAAGCTTGATGTCATTTTTTAAAGGAAGAAGTCTCTGACTGAGGTACTTCAGATTCCCTCTCCTTCAGCTTACCCTTTCTTTCATCTGGAGTTGCTGGAAAATGAGAAGTGTGTTGGGTCTAGGAGGAGGTTTACTCTCTGATGGACTCTTCTTTTTCCAGGTAGTTGAATTCTGTAATGCAAGTACTCACAACCAAGAAGCTCCAAACCTACAGAACCAAATTTGCAGCCTCAGAAGTGCGTGGGATGTGATGGCAGACTCTGCTGACTTCAAAGGCAGCCTTCCCTGGAAGGGTTCTGAGCTTCCACCTCCTCCCACTTTCACTGTTACACAGGCCGGTGACAAGGTGGTCTGTTTAGTGCTGGATGTGTCCAGCAAGATGGCAGAGGTAACATTTTGAACTAAAATGGGGTAAAGCATCATTTTTTTTCTATTAGTCTTTAATCCTTTATATTTTTATTTATATTTTCAGGAGTAAGGATCAGCATGAGGGAGTCTTAAGGTTTGGAACAGTCAAAGGCATTTTCTTGGGGATGAGAGGAATGAATTCAGAATGTGGGCCCCAAAAAGGAATAAGATGCACAGATAATTCCTAACCTGCATTTTTGCTACTAATTGTGACTTTTCCCACCAAGACCCTTTTCTAAAACTCTGACATGCAACAAATAGCATCTGTCTGGTCACATTCTACTCACTGGTGAACATCCCTGGTGGAAGCAGTTGACCAAACTTGCAGCAGGCACAAATACCTACTCTGTGTGTGTGTGTGTGTGTGTGTGTGTGTTTTCCATGCCAGTGTGTACAGAACTTCTAGTTCAGTCATCTGACAATCTAGTAGCTCCTTGAAACCCACTCTGGAAAACTCTATCTCTCAGAGTGGTTCAAGGCATAGTTTCTGGAATTAGGCAGGTGTGTTTTAAGTCTTGGCTCTTTCACTTACTGTTTGTGTAATGAAGAATAAGATGACCTCTCTGAAGCAAAATTTTCTCATCTGTAAAACAGATAATAACACCTGCTTTCAGGAGAGTCAACTATTAAGTTTTTAGGAAACTTAAAATTCAGTTGTTACAAACAGCTATTATTAAAAATTGAACTATGGGGATAGGGGTTTAGCTCAGTGGTAGAGCACATGCTTAGCATGTGCTAACCTGAGTTCAATCCCCAGCACCACACACACACACACACACACACACACACACAGAGAGAGAGAGAGAGAGAGAGAGAGAGAGAGAGAGAGAGATTTAAACTATGTAAACTTATGATTAAATAAAATACATCAAAATAACTAAATGCTCAAAACTCATAATTTTCTAATTTTCTTCTACTACTTGTTATTTTTATTTATGGTCAGGATTGGCAAACTATTTCATGGGCCAAGTCTGACCCACCATGTACATAGCTCACAAGTGAAGAGTAATTTAGACTTAAATAGTTAAGAAAAAAATCAAGAGAATAATGTTTTCTGGCACCTAAAAGTTACATGAAATTCAAATTTCAGTGTCCATAAGTTGAGTTTGGAACATAGCAATTCATTTGTTATATTATATTTCCTATGCCTCTTTATTGCTGCAATAGCAGATTGAAGTACTTGTAACAGAGAATTAATGGCCCACAAAGCCTAAATTATTTACTATCTGGCCCTTTACCAAAAAAAAAAAAAAAGAGTCTCTTGATCCCTTATCTTCCCATATGGGTTTGCTGCTTTGCTCCTAAACATCTTTTCTTCCCTCTGCATTCAGTGATATCGCTTTGATAACCTGATATCAGCCAGGGTAGGAATATGTATTCCATAGAAATTGGTAACTGCTACAACTCAGAGCTCATTTTTTTTAAAGCCAGAAAGCCAGTTACTAAATATTTACCAGCATGTCACTATCCATTTTAATAAGTTTTTGAGGGGGAACAAGTGAGACAATAAATATAAAATTTTTGGCTCATAATCAATAACTGTTAGTGTCATTTTTATTATAGTACTTGTCAAGGAGAGAATTTCTCCTGTCTTTATTCCTAGGATCAACAGTCAGAGAATGTTTGCCTCTGAAGTATTAGGAAATCCACTTCAGCAATCAGCATCTGGATAATGTGGACATGCTGCCTGCCTGCAGTTGAACAGGGCATGATTTCCCTAAATATGGTCTCTGTGTAATTTATATTGGCTCCCTGACCCTGTTGAGCAAGAATGAATGAAGAGGAAGGGAAAGATAATTGTATTTGAGAGAAGACCTAAAATAAGTAGAAGAGAAATGAGCCCAAAATAACAAGCTCATTGAACATTCATTCATCAAGTACTCACACAGTGCTGGCCTGGGCGGTGGGCACAGAGATGTCAAGAACAGGGTATCTGCTTTAAAACATAATACAAAGAGATACATGACACACACATGTGAATAAACATGTGTGATAGGTCTCCACTGAGGTGTGAGTCACTGTGGAGTAGCGACCAGGCCTCATCTGGTGCTGTGGAAGGGGGTGCTAGAGAAGGGCTTCACTGACAAGGTGCACCTGGAGTTGAATCTTGCATGATGAGGGGGAGCTGGCTAGGCTGGATGAGATGAAGGAAGAAAAGGGAGGGCATTCCTGGAAAGGAAAGTGTGTGTGCAGGGGCCAAGAGGTAACATTAGAAGGAAGGGCATTGATGGGTCTGGTTATAACTAACATTGAACTGACATGACCTGTTCAAAGACATGGGGGTTGGTAAGAAGAATGGTAAGAGACAGTTCCAGGTTTCTGGCTTATTAGTTGAGAACAGAGGTCAAGATTAAGAATGAATTAAAAGTATGTAGAGTTAGAGACATATATTGGGGCATTAAGATATGTGTGGGACTAAAATATGTGAAATGGGGTCTGGGTATTAGAGGAACTGTTTGGATTGAAGGAAAAGATCACCATCATCCCTGATGAGGTCGTCAATGAAGTTCAGCTTGCTGCTCCTTTCTCTTTCCTCATAGCCTTCAAAACAAGTGACTGCTGTGAGTTAATCAGTAGCATCACCTGTACAAACCTGGCCACTGATATCACTTTATACTGTCATAAGTATCTCAGTTGTCTAATGTACTAATCAGGAAAGATACTATTAACCTCACAATATGGATGAAGTGTCCAGCCTAAGAGGGCCACCTTAAAAGAGGGTAGCAACATAGAGGTAGACATTGGGTCCCTTGGTTGTTACTCCTCTCCACCACAGGGTCTCTTTGCAATGTTGCCTCTTACCTGCACTGAATTTTAAAAGAAGTGGTTACAAATCTAGACTCAATTTGTTCTGAGATGTAGAGAAATAGTGAAGATATGCGTTCTTATTATAAAGAGCTAGCTTGTTCCAAACCATCCCTCCTTCCCCGAAAACATGCATTTTGAACCTGCAATTAATAGAACAATATTCTAGTAGTATGTCACTCTTTAAAACTCAAAAAACTATAATGCAACATCTCTAAAGAATTAGTCGAGACATTTGCTAATTGAATTACTTAGTTCATACTTTCGTCTACAAATCAGACATTGTCATCTGTTTTTTTTTTTTTTTTTTTTTCCTTTTTGGGATGTAGGCTGACAGACTCCTCCGACTGCAACAAGCAGCTGAATTTTACTTGATGCAGATTGTTGAAATTCACTCTTTTGTGGGCATTGTCAATTTTGATGGTAAAGGAGAGATTCGAGCCCAGCTACATCAAATTAACAGTGATGATGACCGAAAGCTGCTGGTTTCGTATCTGCCTACCACTGTGTCTGCTGAAGCAGAAACCAGTATCTGCTCAGGGCTTAAAAAAGGATTTGAGGTACAGTAGAGTATCCTAAGCTCCATCACCATTATTATTCTTTCCTTCATTTTGTTTCTGAGGTTCTTTCTAATTAGGGGAATCTATTACCATGTGGTTACTACAGCCTCAGCTATTGGAGAGCAATGATGAATTATCCTTAAAATCCCAGGACAATGTCTTGTTCATCTTGAAAAGTACTCAGCATGTAATGGTTGCTTGGTAAATGCTTATTGAAGGAATGAACAAATAAATGAATACCATGGCCAAGAATGAGAGACAATATCTGAGCACTTTTAAAGCTGTTCCTATTTATTCTGAGTCTGTCCCAGCTGTATCCAGAGTTACCCTTGGTTTTTCTAGTCAAAATGAGTATGTTTCTGACATTCAGGAATGTCAGAGTCTTTCTAAAAGAGCATCTGAGCTGCAGCCATGTGTCAAGCCTCTGATAGCAAGCAAAACCTCAGGCTGCCTATAGCCAAGTTATGTCTCCACTTAGACTGTCCACTGATGTCTCATGATTAAAAAATACTTAAAGGCTGAGGGTTGAGCACATGCTTTGTATGTAGGAAGCTCTGGATTTAATCCCCAGTGCCCAAACCACCACCACCAATTGATGCCTTGGTTTCATCTCCAAGAGACTGATTTCATTGTTCTGGGGGTGATCTGATCATTAAAAAGTTTTAAATCTCTTTATGTAATTCTCATATGTAGCCATGGTTGAGAAACACTGCTCTAAGCACTTGCTGGGTCTCAGAGGCAAGGTTCTCATTCAGTGACAAAGCCCATATCCTTTATGGTGGACACTGTTCTTAGCTATGGACACATCATGGTGCTGGAACAGGAAAAGTGCCTGCCCACAAGCAACTTGGCAGTGGCACATGGGGTGACGAGTGCTGTGACTGGGTGAGGCGAAGACTCAGTGGGGTGGCACAGAGTGTGAAGATTCATGGAAGACCTCCAAAAGGCATGTGTCCCACTGTTAAGGAATTTAGACTGAGAGTGAATTCTCCTGCTAAATAAGACAGTTTGAACTATATTTCCTTTGAAATGACTGATATTCTATGTTCAGGTGGTTGAAAAGCTGAATGGCAAAACCTATGGCTCTGTGATGATATTAGTGACCAGTGGAGGTGACGAGCACATTGGCAACTGCTTGCTCACAGTGCTCAGCAGTGGGTCAACCGTCCACTCCATTGTCCTGGGCTCCTCTGCGGTGGGAAACCTAGAGGAATTATCCCATGTTACTGGTAATAAATTTCTAAAAACTTATCTGTTATAGTGTGTCTTTTAAACTCGAATTTTCAAAACACAATCATGCAACTCACATTATTTGGCTTAATTGAAAAAACAGAAAATGTTTTCTTAAAAGTACACTACAAACCATTGATAAAATTTTGTTGATTTTGTTTTTTTATATTTTCTTTAGAATGTCCAAATTAAATGTGTCCAATAAAAATATATTTGCATAATTTCTTTGTTAAACCAGCCTAAGGATGTATAATCATGGAGCTAAAAAACATGTTTAAGACTAACTACACTAATATCCATAATAGGGATGTGTACAGTATTGTGAGTTACATATCCTTTTAATTCTGATGAAGCACTGATAAACTTATCTCATATTCCTTATATTTGATAAAAAATGAGTATGCTGATTTTACTATTGAAAATTAGGACTTATTGAATTATTTCTGAAAGTGATGTTTTCAGAACATAAATATAAATATATAGCAATATAGATAGCAATTAACCTAAGTTATCTAGTAGTTGCCATGATCCCAAACTATTCAATAAGCACTTATTTAGTTCTGACATAATGGGAAGAATCCTAGGCCTGGACAATACAGATATGAACGAGCAGATAAAACTAACCCCTACGGCTACTTACTGTGCAGCTAGCTATACAAGATATCACACAGTATATCAAGCTCAGATCCAACCCCCCTGAAACTAATACTCCAATACAAAGAAAGTTTGTTGGGAAAGGTCTATCTTTTTGTTTGTTTGCTTGTTTGTTTTATTTTATCCTATATAGTTAATTTCCCAATTTCTATTTCAGGAGGTTTAAAGTTTTACGTTCCAGATAAATCAAACTCTAATAGCATGATTGATGCTTTCAGTAGAATTTCCTCTGGAACTGGAGACCTTTTTCAACAGAGCATTCAGGTCAGCATTTCTTCAATGTTGCGTTCATTGATGCGCGGGGGAGGGAAAGCTAGGGAAACAGATGAATTGTACCAACTGTTCCATTTACTTCATTGGAGTATGTAATCATCTGTGTGTAGAAGGCTTTTACTGAGCTTCTTGGTGTTGCAAGAGCCAGGTGATGCCTGTACTTCTCTAGGAGCCATTTTCTATAATTACTACTTCTGTTTTTCAAGGTCTGTGAGAACGCTTACTTCTTTGTGACTCAAAATGCAAGTGGGGGTGGGAGAGTGGGTTGGTGCAAGGCCCAAAAGAAATATAGGAAACTGTATTTAGTTTCAGTTCCATGATAACTTTCCACCGACCAGATGGTATTTTACTTTTGCTTCTTTACTAATTAAGCCGTTTTTAAAAGGATCGATATTTTCTAATTATTTTAAATATCCTGGACATAACTGAATAATGTTTTGAACAGAATTTCATCTTCAGTTTCCTTACAGATGGTGAGTGAATCTGCCAAGTTAATAACTTGATGTAAACAATGAACTGAGTACATTGTTAGGAAATATTTAACATGAAGGTGATATGTACACAGAAAAGGCAATAACCACCTTATTAGAAGTAAAAAAAAAAATGCCCAAGACATATTGTAATCAAATTCTCTAAGGTTAAAGATAAAGAGATGATTCATAAAGTAGCAAGTGAAGAGAAACAAATAACACATAAGTGTCCCAGTTTGTCTGACAATAGACTTAGCAGAAACCTTATAGGCCAAAGAGTGGCATGAGATGTCACAATATTGTAGATAAAAACTTTAAACCCAAAGTCCTCTACCCAGCTTTAGAAATGAAGTTACAAAATAAAGACATTCCCAAGCAATAGCTGAAAGAGTATGTGTCCACCAGACCTGTGATAGGAAATGCTAAATAGAGTTCTTCAAACTGGAAGATAGAGATGTTCATGAGTAAGAGGAAAACATCAGAAGGTTGACTATTTAGAATCCTCTAATATTGTAAACATGGAACACAAACCATTCCTATCTGTAGTATGAGGGCTAAAATATAAAATAACTTATAATAGGCATATTAATAAAATAAGAGAGAGGCAATAGAGAAATATGTAAAATTGAATATCAAAAATCCAAATTGTGGGAAGGAATGGAGTGAAAGTGCAGAGTTTCATTAGTCTGATTTTTTCTCTCTTTTTTGTTTATTTTCTTATCTTTATAACTGTGTTATTTTGCTCTCATTTCAAAATAGCTTATTATTAAAAAATGTATTTCGTAAGCTTCATGGTAATTATAAAGCAAAAATCTATAACAGACAAACCAAAGGTAATAAGCAAGGAATCAGAACACACTAGTAAACCACTTAACCTCAAAGGAAGACTATAAGGGAGGAAAAAAAAAAAGAAAAATATAAAAACTAGAAAACAAGTTACAAAATGTGGTAACTTTTATTAATTTATTAATTATTAATTATTTAATCCTTTTAATGTAATTATTAATAGGTAAATAATGTAATTTACCTATTAATAATTACATTAAAAGGATTAAATTCTCCAATTAAAAGGCATAGAGTGATTAAATAGATTTTTTTAAAAAGACCCAGGTATATGTTGCTCACAGAAAACTTATTTCACCTCTAAGGAAACACATAGACAGAATGAACAGACAGAATAAGATATCCCGTGCAAACTGAATCCAAAAGAAAGCGAGAGTATCTATACTCATATCACATCAAAGAGATCTTTAAATCAAAAGCAGTAAAAAATAGATAAGGAATATCATTATATAATGATAAAAGGGTCAACTCAGCAAGAGTAAGTAACAATCCTTACTGTGTTCACACCTAATATCAGAGCACCCAAATAAAAGCTAATATTAAAAGACCCAAAATGAGAGACAGATCCCAATACAAGACTAGTAGCAAATTTAATACCATATTATCAATCCAGACAGAAGATCAACAAGGAAATAGCAGAGTTAAACTTCACCCTAGATCAAACAGGCCTAATAGACATCCGAAGGGCTTTCCACAGAACAACTGCAGAAGGCACATTCTTCGCAACAGCACATGCCACATTCAGGATATGATGGGCCACAGAACAAGTCTCAACAAATTTTTAAAAATTTTAATCACATTGAGTATATTTTCTAATTATAGTGCAATAAAATAGAAGTCAATATAAAGAAAAGCTTTGGAAATTATTCATATACAAGGAAATTAAACAACTTACTCTGGGACAACCAACGGATCAAGTAAAAAAAAAAATCAAGAAATTTAAAAATTTCTTGAAACAAATGAAAATGGAAATATAACATACCAAAACCTATGTGATACAGCAAAAGCAATGCTAAGAAGGAAGCTTAAAGCAATAAATTTATATCAAGAAGCAGAAAGTTCTCAAATCAACAACCAATTAATGCATCTCAAGAAACTAGGAAAACAAGAACAAATCAAACCTCAAATTAGTAGAAGGAAAGAAATAATGTAATAAAGACCAGGGACAGGAAGGAGAGAAGGCCAGAAAGAGAAAAGAAATAAATAATAAAGATCAGAGCAGAAATAAATGCAGTGGAGACTAAAAAAATACAAAAGATTAATGAAATAAAGAGCTGTTCTTCAAAAAGGAAAGCAAAAGAGATATACCCTTAGCTAGACAAATAAAAATTGAGGGAAGACTTAAATAAATACAATCAGAAATGAAAAGGGATACATGGCAGCTGACACCAAATAAATACACAGATTCATCAGAGATTATTATGAACAACTGTCAACAAATCCGATAAACTAAGAGAAATGGACACTTTTCTAGACACATACCAAGATTAAATCACGATAGTAAATGACATAAGCCAGGCACAGAAAGATAAGTAGCACATAATCTCACTCATAGGTGGAATATAAAAAAGCTGATCTCATAGAAGATGAGGGTGGAATGGTGGTTATCAGAGGCCATAGGGAGTAGGGGAGAGGGAGAAATGGGAAGAGGTTGATTGTTGGGTAGTAAATTTTAGTTAGGAGTAAGAGATTCTGGTGTGCTAGTGCATAGCAGGGTAACTATAGATAGACATTGACAGTGTACGGTATATTTCAAAGGGCCAGAAGAAAGGATTTTGAGTGTTTTCACCCTAAAGAAATGATTATTTCAGAGATAAAATGTTTTACCTGAGTTAAAAATTACAGTGTATACTTATATCAACATATCATATGGTGCTCCATAAATAAGTGCAATTTTTATGTTTTTATCAGTTAAAATAAATTTAAATTAAAAATGATAAAGTAAAAATGTGAATTATAAATGACATATATGTTATAGATAGATTAGACCATAATCAATTATTTTGCCAATTCCCCATAATCTTTATACCCTGTTATTTCCTCTTTAACATGGTATAAAACCAACTGTCAAAAAAACCCATGAAAACCAAATTTAATATAAAATAGTCTCCATATGGTCTCAAATTAGTCTTAGCATTCCCAACATTGGCTGCTGCTCCCTATTGTTTGCATATCATTAGTTCTCCTAGGGCAGAAGCCACCTCTAAAGTCCCTTCAGCAGCCCAGGGCCCAGTGGAGAGTACAGCATAGCCATTGGCAGCCCACAAACACTTGTTAAATTGATCCACGATACCTTTGCTGCCATTCACTAATATTATTTTTCCAGGTTTGAGCAATTTTACAGTATTCTAATGTTTTTAATAAATGTAATTTAAAAATTATTTACAGACTTGTATCTATTGCGAATACCCAGTGATTAGATGCAGAGGCTCTGGTGGTGCCAACCCACATGAGTTTTATCCTATTCCACGTTTTTGCTGTTATGACATTGGGCAAATTACTTCTAATCTGTAAAATGTGAACAGCATTGTCTCAGAAGGTTTCCATAAAGAACAGATGATACAATATACATGAAGTATTTAGCACAGTGCCAGGCACATATATGTACTGTACATGTTATACACATGTGAACATGCAGAGAAGCACACACTCATGTGCAGACAGTTTATTATGAGTGACAACATTTATAACAACATTTAGCCAATTGATTTTCAATTGAATCACATTATTAAATGAAGCATGTAAACCCAAATTTATTTCTTATTAAAATCTATAAAAGTATATGGATATGTTATCTAAAAATTAAAACAATTTAAGTACATTCACAAACAAAAATTTTTAAAAGTTTGTTATTATAATTGCTGATTTGAGGCCAATGTTCATTCTGATAAGAGATGATACGAGAACAGCTAAATCATTCTTGATAAAGAATAATGATGGTTGGTTCCATAGTTTAGCTATTGTGAATTGTGCTGCTATAAACATTGATATGGCTGTGTCCCTGTAGTATGCTGTTTTTAAGTCCTTTGGATATAGAACAAGGAGAGGGATAGCTAGATGCCCTTCAATAGATGAATGGATAAAAAATGTAGCATATATATAATGGAATATTATTCAGCAATAAAAGAGAATAAAATCATGGCATTTGCAGGTAAATGGATGGAGTTAGAGAAGATAATACTAAGTGAAGTTAGCCAATCCCAAAAATCCAAATTCCAAATGTTTTCCTTGATAAAAGGAGGCTGATTCATAGTGGGATAGGGAGTGAGAGCATGGGAGGAATAGACGAACTCTAGATAGGGCAGAGGAGTTGGAGGGGAAGGAAGGGGGCATGGGGTTATTAAAGTGATGATCATTATTATCCAAAGTACATGTATGAAGACACAAACTGGTGTGAATATACTTTGTATACAACCAGAGATATGAAAAATTGTGCTCTATATGTGTAATAAGAATTGTAATGCATTCTGCTGTCATATATATATATATATATATATAAAAGGATACTTGCATTAACGACAACAAAATATTTTAGCACCACTTATATAATATTTTGCTTTGGAAAAGCATTTTTATATGAAAATTTTATATGTCAAAATTAAATGTTTTTATTCTTGCAAATTTGTTTTTGTTTGTCGAAAAAGGAGAAATGATCATTTATACACTAGAAACTTTCACATATATATTCTTTTTAACAGCTTGAAAGCATGGGTGAAAATGTTAGCCCTTACCATCAATTGAAAAACACTGTGACTGTGGATAACAGTGTGGGCAATAACACTATCTTCCTAGTCATGTGGCAGACCAGTGGTCCCCCTGAGATTGTATTACTTGATCCTACTGGAAGAAAATACTACATGAATAATTTTATCATCAATGTAGCTTTTCGGACAGCTAGCCTTTTGATCCCAGGAACTGCCAAGGTAGGTGTTAAGGAATTATTTATAATAACACACATTTATAACAACATTTAGCCAATTGACTTTCAATTGAATCACATTATTAAATTTAGTGTGTAAATGAGATTTTATTTTGATATATCAAAACTTTAAATTTTATGAAAAATTTTTGTAGATGTTAAAAACTTAAGAGGAGCAACTAAAATATATTTCGAACTTCACATAAAAACTTATAACTCAAACAGTGGAAATTAGTATTTATACTAGTAGTACAAATAATTTTTTTCTAGTTTACATCCTTCTCTATGTAATCCATATGGACATACTTTTCTATATGCTTAGGAAAAATTCTCTGCTTAAAACTTATAACATGAACAGTGCAATACACATGCTTTTGAGTACCTGCTTGGTCTTGTAGGTGATTTACAATAAGAGGCCATGAAAGGAGTAAGTACCAAGGCACTATCAGAGCATACAGAAGGGTGGGAAGGAGAAATGCTTTCTGGAAGTGAGGACTTTAAAATGGAAATATGGGGAATAAAGGGGCCAGAAGGTAGATACAGCACATAGAAAGGCTCAGAGAAAAAGAACATTGCTGTTCGTAGTACTGCAAGTAGTTCAATATAGATGAACTCCAATAGAACATTGCCTGGGAATGCAGGTAAAGGAGGAAGTAGGGAATGAAGAGCCACGTCAGCAAGAGCTTTGCAGAATAAAGGTAGGAGGGGCTTAAATCCTGGTGGTAAAGGGGAACCACTGAAAGTTTCAAGCAGGGCAGTGGTTTGATTAGATCGGCTCTTGTACTGCTTGAACTCAGTGCCTTATCACACACTATCCCTGCCTCCATCGCTGTTGGCAATCTCTTAACTGGCCTTGACTCTAACTGGCATCCCTCCAATTCTTCACCTCCTTCAGAATGATCCTTCTGAAACGCAAATCTGATCAACCTTTCTTGACCTTCCTCTCAATTACTTTATGCTCTGATCCTATTGAACTTTTCTGCAGCTCATTGAATCCTTTTCACATCTGTGCACAAGGGCAAACACTATTCCTTTTTCTTGCTCCTTTTGCCCAACCCCTTTGTCTGGATTAGGTTCCCTGTATCAAAACACCATAGAAATATTTTTGATGTGGAGATTCCTGACATTCATCTGTTACTAATGTTATGATTCCAAAACAAGAATAGATAGGTGATCTTAATGCTCAAATGAGACTTCACTAGAAAATGGCAAAGCACATGAATTCCAACAAAGAAGACTGTGCAGGTGATGGCATCTAAACTCCCCACCCTTAAGATCTTAGATGTATGATTTAAAATTGTTAATTTTTCCCCTCACATTTTATAAAACAAAAACCCTTTGTTTGCAGCCTGGGCACTGGATATACACCCTGAACAATACACACCATTCTCCTCAGGCCCTGAAAGTGACAGTGGCCTCCCGTGCCTCCAGCTCCACTGTGCCCCCAGCCACTGTGGAAGCCTTTGTGGAAAGAGATAGCACCTATTTTCCTCATCCCGTGATAATTTATGCAAATGTAAAAAGAGGGTTTTACCCCATTCTTAATGCCACGGTTACAGCGATGGTTGAGCCAGAGATTGGAGATCCTGTCATGCTGAAACTTTCTGACGACGGAGCAGGTAATGAGGAATGTCATGGTGCTCTACATGTTCATGAGAGTTGCCACATATGGTGAAGTTGCATTGATATAAGCCTACTTAAATTTTTTTAATTCAATTATTTTTATTTTCCATCTCAAATTCTCATAGAATCACTGATACACTAAATAGCTGCAGGCTAATTTGAGAAAATAGTCTCTATGAGGCTCTTCAGAGTGACTGTATCTTGATTGTAAAAAGATGGGAGGAAGCCACTGAACTCCTTGGTCTTGACTTCCACATGGCCAGTGACGTTGGACACTCTTGCTTCATAAGGTCACTCATGAACAAAATTGTGTATCCTTATGATGTGCCCGTATTTCTCTCAGAGTAAACAGTTTTACTGGTTCACTGAAATAATTAGACGGGACAGCTAAAACATAGCAAATGAAAACTCAAGAAGGGATATGCAGTGACAGTTAAGCCATATTTTCCCTTTGGACCCAGTTGTGAAAAAAAATCGGAAATTGAACTGTGACTCATGAGATGGCCCTAGACTATTCTTTGGCCAGGTAGCTGAGTTGACAAGAGGACACAGCACATCTTTGGCAATGCCTTTGATGTGTGTGACTTGGTCCCAAAGAAGACCAGGCCAGCAGGTTAGTGGAATCAAAATAGAGATTTCCCCACCACTGGGAATACCAAGTAAAATAAGAAATGCTAATTCAAAGCTCTTGTTCTGCATAAATGGAATTCAGAGCCCCATGTTATACAGTATGGATAGCAGAGCATCTGACCAGGCAGACAGCAGCACTTGGACTCTTTCTGACTAAATTTTTAAAACTCTTTTGTTGTTCCTCATTTCTTGTTTCCCATTCTGTTCTTTTCCTAAACTAAATTCTCAGAATGATAATAGACCCTGAAGTCTATATTGGTAGTCCCAAATATTTAATGTGCTAATAAAACCACATACCTCTGCTCTGTTATTTTAAGTTGATATTTTTCAAGATTCTTGGTTTTGGCAGCCCTTTTGTAGTGCAGCTAGCTTACCACAGCAATCATGTATAATATTTATGAACAAAGTTCATTCAGAGGACTGTACTTCAATTTCATCTCAGGGGGATACCAAGAAGTTTTCTTGTTTGCCTGTTGGAATGGAGACAAATGAACGTCTTATGTTCTGATTGCTTATGCGGGGCCCGAGCTTTCATTTTGTAGTGTACAGTCCAAATATGCACTGTACAGAATGTTTCTCCTTTGCTCCAGCCTGTGAACTGGCCTGGAGAATAGATCCTGTTCTCTTAGGGAAAGTCACCTGATTCAATTCAATAGGCTTTTATATTTATTCCCTGAATCATTTCATTTGTTTGAAAAATGCTACTTAGACATTAAGTGTAAATTTAGTCTGTATCCCGACACTCAACACACATGTGCATAGTTGTCTAATACTTTCTGTAATGGAAGCAGTATTTATCTGCAAAGTAAAATTAATGAATAACAATAAGTTGTATTTACAAAATGCTTTATAATTTAACAGTGTACTTTCTCATGCATACTCTCAGGTAACTATCACAGCAACCCTGTATGATAAGTTATCCCATTTTACAGAAATAAAAGTGAGATATTAAGCTTCAAAGCTACTAAGTGGCAGATCCACGTCTTAAAGCCAACTTTCTTAACTCTCAAGCCAATGGTCTTTCCCCATTTCTTTCTGCCTCAGCGATTAACAGAGCTGGCAGTGCTGACTGTGTGATGGAGAGATTTTTCTTTGAATTTCTCAACAATGTTAAACCATCTTATTAGTCATTAAATCACTAAATACTATTATTTATTTCTAATAGAAAAAAATTGCTAATAAATACTATACTCTTATTTATTTCCAATAGAAAAAAAATTTGCTAAATCTACCTTGATAATAAGATGTTTAGCACTCATTTTATTTAAATATACTCTGCTTTTCTCATGTTAAGGAGCCTGCTTCTGCAGTAGGGAAGAGGAAGATTCTACTTTATCAATGGTATAGTGCTGGGACTCAGGGCTGGGAGTGTGGTGTGAGAACTGAATTGACAACTGGGATAGGAGAAGCTGCTTGTCCAAAGAGGCCACCTGCACTTGAATGGTGAATGTGACTTGTACTTGGCCTAAGCTGGTGGTCTACTTGCTATTCTGGGGTCTAGGTCTTCCTGCCATTCATAGACTTGGCTCTGAATTGAACTGCTCTCTAAGGATCAGTGCAAAAGGAAGGGAGTCTAGCACTGGCAAAGCTATCAGCACGTCCCCTGAATCATGGCACTGTGGACAGAACCAAAGCTGCCAAACTCCAGGTTATCAGTCCTCTTAGAATCTAGAACAATTCCATGTACTCTCTAATGAGGAAATTAAGCAATTCCATACAATTTTATCAACGACCAAAGTTCTTCTGTTTTTGTTTTTGTTTTCTTCCCCGCCAACAGAGATTCTTAATCAAACAGCTTCAGGTCATTCACAAACTCTTGAAAATTGTATGAAAATGTGTATATGTGAATACATATTTATTTCTTAGAGGCAGAATATATATTATTTCAAAAGAGTTTATGACCATATATAAGCTTAAAAATACACTTGGTTTCTAGGGAAAACTAGTATCATTTTCAATGATAGGAACGAAAGCTTTAAAGATGATTTTTAAGTGTTTTATTAAAACTGCAGTAGGTACAACTCACTCACCTTTAGAAAATAATTTTTCAGAGGCTAAAGAATAACAGGAAGAAATTATTGGACCCTTAGTCTTTAGTTACCTCATAAAATAAAAAATAGCAATAATCATGATAACAGATACTAAAATGAAAAGAATAAGAGGAGAAATGTTATTTTAGTAGCATTAAATATTAGCAATCAACTATGATGACAAGTATTGACATTGAATCTTTGTCTATACAGGTGCTGATGTTATAAAAAATGATGGAATATACTCGAGGTATTTTTTCTCCTTTGCTGTAAATGGTAGATATAGCTTGAAAGTGCATGTCAATCATTCTCCCAGCGTAAGCGCTGTAGCCCACTCTGTCCCAGGAAGTCATGCTATGTACGTACCAGGTTACATAGCAAATGGTAAGAATGATTAGTACTGTTAATTTGAATAATTTCATTTCATGTACATATCTTTGATGAGTGGGTGTGTACTGGGTGGAGCAAAGAGGAAGGATGACAAAGGAGAGAGTTGTGAAAGAGATGGAATTTCAAAATTCTTTATACTTATATCAATATAGTGTGTTGACTGTCTCCTCAATACTCAGTGAGTCATGGTAGCGGATATTCTGATAATAGGTCATTCCCATAGACCACTCCTACCTTTATTTTAGTAATCACTGACCTCTTTCTTGTAACAATTTCACCAGAATTACTAAGAGATAAAGAGACTTGGGAGTTCTAAGTTCTGGCTCCTATATTTCCCCTGGAGAGGATTAGAAAAGAGAAATAAGAAAAGTTTCTAGCAGCTAAAAGAAGGAAGCAAACAGACCAAATAATCTACACAGGAAATGAGTTTCTGAATAAGTACAAGCTCAGATGTTACAGACAACAGAGTGATTCCTAAAGGGGTTCTGATTTTCTGCTGGATAAAAGTGTCAAATAAATAGAAGATGCATATTAAAAAAAAATACCAATAATTTTAGTCCCTGATGGGTAGCAATAGTTAAAATATAACAAATACAAATATATGATGCTGTAGTCTCTCTAAAAACAATTTCAAAATCAATTTTATAAGTATTACTTATGTACTTCAACAGTTATAATTAATCACCTGGACCATTCCACTATATGATTCTATAACTTTTTTTTTTTAAGAGACAGAGAGAGAAAGATAATTTTTTAATATTTATTTTTAGTTTTCGGTGGACACAACATCTTTATTTTATTTTATTTTTATGTGGTGCTGAGGATTGAACCCAGCTCCCCACGCATGCCAGGCGAGTGCGCTACCACTTGAGCCACATCCCCAGCCCGATTCTATAACTTTTTTGCTCTGTGTGTGCTTCTCATTAGAAACTAATCAAGATGCTACAATGGATTTGCATCTCTCTCTCTCTCTCTCTTTTTTTTTTTTTTGGTGTATTCCCTCCTACATAATTCATTCTCACCTATACTTCAAATATTTTGGGTTATTTCAAAACCATTGTAAGTGTATTTGCAAGGTAACACGGTTTTATTGCATAGGTATGATATCATATCTAGATATAATAGTTTGTTTCTAAATAGATATTCCCTTTGTTAATTTATACATAATAGTTTTGAAGGCCTACTAGGTGATTGATTGGCTTAGAAACTTGGGATACCAAATAGAAGAGATGATTCTTATCAAGGAGTTTTTAGGCAACTGACTGGTCTGTGTATCTCTTTAAAACCCAGGAGTTTAAAGGATACAAATATCAGTATCTAGTGTACAGCGAGATTAGAAGTGCTCAACTATGGCTTTCTGTGTACTTCATATATTCCTTAAGAATGCAAAAAAAGAAAACGGGTTCCCTTGCCATGCCTATTTATGAATAGCATTCACTTTCTCAGCTCTTCTTGGGTGATGACCTTGAACACACACTTCTCTGGCAAATGGGAGCTGCTCTATTTTCACACCATCAAAAGTCCAGACAGAGCAGCACCTGCCCCCTTCCTTTTCTCTCCCAAGGCCACTGTCTCTGCTGGATCCACTCTGGATTCCAGCCAAGGGCCTTGAGAACCTCTCTCTCACATGATCACTTGCTGCTATCCTCTCTGAGCAGTATTTGAGTATGTTTTATTACCTCCCATAAAAAAATTAAGTTATACATCACCTCCCAGCTATTGTCCACTTCTCTACTCCCTGTCTTTCCATCCCTTGAAATTAATCAAAACCTGCTGACTGAACTTTCTTACCTCCTGTTTACTACTCTGCCTGCCACAATGTGGCTTCCACTCAAATCACTCCACTGGAATTGCTCTGACCCTATTTGCCAATGGCCACCCTGCTGCCAAGTCCAAAGGTCACATCTCAGTCTTCATCTTCCCTGATTATCAGCAGTGTCTGGTAGCAGACTGAGCTCTTCCTTGCTATTTCCTGGTTTCCATGATGCCATAGTCTCCTGGTTACCTCTTATCCTCTGGAATTTTTTGTCAGCCTCTTTTCCAGCTCCTCCTTTTCTAAAGGTGCTTAGTCTTGATTTTTTTTGAATCTACTGTCTGGAGCCATAGTGCTAAACTGTGACTTTGAGTAAGTTGCCTGCTTCTGAGAGTCTCAGTTTTATTTTATATATAGATATATATACATATATATATATACATATATATATATATATAAAAATGGGGGTGATAACTGTACTCTCCTCATAGTTTTGCTAAGAAAATTAAACATTTGACATGCATAAGGTACTTAGAAAAGTCCATAGCACATAGTAGGTACTAAATATATACTACTTATATTATACTTAAAATTATTATTAGGTTATCTCTTTAATCCATATGGCTTTAATAATATCTACATGTCATATCCTCCAAATTTATAACTTCAAAATTACTAAATCTAACCAAACCCCTTTTTGAGTTTGAAATTCATAGATGACGGGCTCTTTCATATTTTTACAAAAATTGTAAACCTTGTTACTTAATTTTTGGTCTCTTTTTTCCTGGGAGCTATTTTTTTAAACCATCATTGTCTCCTTCACTATTCCATATACAAATCTATTATCAACTTTTGTTGACTTTGTCTCCAAAATACATCTTGAACTGCCCTTTCTTGCCTCCTTTCACTGTTCTCACCCTTCCCAAGCTGCCATCTCCTCTTATCTGAACTATAGATGGCTCTCTGAGTGGCCCCCTTGCTAGCTATACTTTACTTCAGTCTCTACAAAGCAGCCAGAGGCTAAAAGGTCCTGTGTGAACTTCTCTCCTGTCTCACCTCAGACTATTCTTTCCCCTCTTTTTATTTTGTTTTCTTTTACTGACTGATTGATTCGAGTGCTGAGGATGGAATCCAGGGCTTCACATAATACTAAACGAGAACTCTACCACTGAACTCGACCCTAGCCCTTTTCCTTTCTTTAATTTAATTTTTCTACCTTGTAGAGCTCTTGCACATCTCAGAATTTTCACCCAAGCTCTTCCCTTTACCTAGAATTGATTTTTTTTTTAAAAACCTCTGCTCTTTCCAGGCCTGATTGCTCAACCTTTAGGAAAACTTTAAATGTCACTTCCTTGATACCATTCTAAATTGTGGACTCAGCACTCTGCCTTTTTGCCTTCTTCACTCATCACAATTTGTAAATGAATGTGTGCTAATATGATTAACAAAACTGAAAATTCCACACAGTATTCTTTTTTGTCTCTGATTACTGGCACAGCATATGCCCTCAATAAATACTTAAGGAGTGAATAAATGAATGCATTAATGAATTATTGGATGCATAAACTCAGTTATTCTAAAGAAGTGGTTAAAAGGGTTTTAAAAAGCCTCTTAATAATCTGTTAAAAACAAGCTGTTCAGGAGATTTTTAATTTGTCTTTTTTGGTGATTCTTTTGTATCTTAGGTAATATTCAGATGAATGCTCCAAGAAAATCAGTGCGCAGAAGTGAGGAGGAGCAAAAGTGGGGCTTTAGCCGAGTTAGCTCAGGAGGCTCCTTTTCAGTGGTGGGAGTTCCAACTGGCCCCCATCCTGATGTGTTTCCACCATGCAAAATTGTTGACTTGAAAGCTGTAAAAATGGAAGAGGAAGTGACCCTGTCTTGGACAGCACCTGGAGAAGACTTCGATCAGGGGCAGGGTACGTTTGCTGGTTTCATTATCTATTTTTCTACAAAATGGTATTTCTAATTACTATGTCAAAGATTAGTTGGGTGAAAATAGTTTCAGGATTTAGAGCTTAAAAAGCTACAGAAAGTTGCCTTAAAAATTCTGTTGACCCAGAAGTGAAGAAGCCCTGGTAGACTCACTGGCATTAGTCACACAGAAATCTCCATTGGGGACATAAACACCACACATTAAGGTGGCCAATTCAGCAAAACTGTGTTCTGCATTACAGAGCACATGCTTCCAAAAACTGGAAGTAACTAGTTTTCTGAAAATTCTCCAATGAATATTTATTCATGTGTTTATAAGTCAGATTTAGGGGACCATTTCCTATGACTCATGCAAACCTTGATGCATTTTCCTCTCCCACTTCTGGCCATCATTTTTGTTACACAAGTTGAAAGCAGTTCCTAGGTTGGGGTCTTTCTTGCCCTTGCTTGGATGTACCTTGATGGAGTCCCTTCCACTTTCCATTTCTAAGGCCAGTGCTAACTTCCAGGCCTCCACCCACTATATCTTTTTCCTATTTTTTTTTTAAACCTGACAGTCATAGCACCATTTATTGAGAAATATTTGCCACCCCATAATTAATTTGAATTTCACCTTTATCATATGCTAAATTCCTAAATATATTTGACCTACTTTATAATATAAGTTTATTCACATATTAGTGTCAGGGTTTGGGTTCTTGAAGCATTGGTTTAGTTCTTCTGCACCACTATCTTTCAAACTTTGTATGACCATTTTTATCATTTATTTTCCATATAAACTTTACAATAAGCTTCAGTATTGTGAAGAATCAGAGACACTGTTAATAAAATCACATAAAATTTCCGTAACAGCTTAGGGAAAAATAACATCTTTATTATGTTACATCTTGCTTTCAAAAAACACAAGTCCTCATGCCCAGGTTTTAGTGTGGGTTTTTAATGTAATGTTTTAAAATTTTGCTCTTATTCTTATTTCTTTTTATGTTGATTCCTAGACATTTTGACTTTTTCATTGCTGTTCTCATTAGTCATTTTTAATAAACTAGAAAACTTCTCAAAGTGACTTAACACCTCCATTTATTCTTTTAATTTCAGCTACAAGCTATGAAATAAGAATGAGTGACAACCTACAGAGTATTCAAGATGACTTTAACAATGCCATTTTAGTAAATATGTCAAAGCTAAAACCTCAGCAAGCTGGCACCAGGGAGATGTTTACATTCTTGCCCAAACTTTTCTTAAATGGACTTGAACCTGATGGAGAAACACAAGAAAGCCACAGAATTTATGTGGCCATGAGAGCAGTGGATAAGAACTCCTTAAAGTCTGCTGTATCTAATGTTGCCCAGGTATCTCTGTTTATTTCTCCAAACTCTGCTCCTGTACTAGGAAGAGATTCTCTTATAATGAAAGGAGTTTTAATAGCAATAAGTTTAATAGGAATCATTTGCCTCATTATAGTTACAGCACATTATACTTTGAATAGGAAAAAGAGAGCAGACAAGAAAGAGAATGGAACAAAATTACTATGAACAAATACACAGAGTACCTTCCTTTTTTGATAAAAAGGCCCATGGCACTTGCATTTTGCAAATATATAACCTCAAAATAAAGTTAACATAAAACTGTATTAAAATGCATTGAGTTTTTGTATAATAGAGATATTGTTTTTACATAGTTATTACACATATTTTTGTAATAGTCATTTTGAGGGGTGAATTAGAAAACCCTTAGGCTTTAGTTATGGGAAAATAACATTAGTTATTTTTCAAGGTAGTGTCTTTAAAAGCAAAGGCAAGGGCAAAGTTGAATGAGAGTTAAGAAAAGATGGTTTTATTGAAGTGAAAAAAAAATTTCAAGTAGAGAAACAGGAGTTAGGCCTGGATTATGCAGTGTAACTCTCTATATAAGGCACTTGTTTAGTTACTTTGATTAATCTTTCATTTTTTCTTATCTGTGCAGAGCAGGTTGCTTGTTCATGACTGACAATCAATCTACATTATATATATATGAAGCCACTATTGTCAAGTTCTGTATCTCTTGCCATATGGTTAAAAACAATACAGATCAAATCCTACCACTAATGCTCAAAGAAATCTTTTTTTCACTGTAACTTTAAAAGGTGGTTTTTATCCTTATCTCTTCCTACTGGTTTTCTAACAAAGGTCTATTGAATTTATTGTTTATAAGTTTCTATTCCCATCAAAGCAGATTTCCAAGTTATTGCTTTGGGAACAATTGAATAAAAATGGTTATCTCTCTCATAGGATTTAAGTAAGGAATGAAAGACATTATTTTGTGCTTATTTTAATACATATATAGACCATATACTTTTATTCTATTTCAACCTAAGAAGAGGTCAGGGGGAAAAGATTGACCTTTGGAAATGACTATCATATTCTGTCCTGTGGCTAAATAAGAGTCTAGAATCCTTTCTCTATCTAGAGCAGGGAAAAACTGCAGCACAGACCACAATGAAATAAAAATTACTTTTCATCTGACTTTACTTTCCTCTAGTTTTTAAAACAGTATTGACCAAAGAGCTTAAAATTTTATTGAATAAATATGAGTAATAATGTAGAAGAGGTCTTGGTTTTATAACTAGGACCAATTAAGAATGAAAATTAAATCAGTTTGGGGTGGTAAGGAAGGAAATGTGGTGAGTTGTGACAGGAAGAGAACACCTGAGGAGAGACTCAGCAGGGATGGAGAAAAAGCAACCATCAAATCTCTCTGCCCAGGTAGCCTCCAAGTAATTTATACTGCAGCCCACATCTGGCCTATTACCTTCTGAGTCTCATAGTGCCTAAGTCTTCAAGGAAGGAGCCTCAAGACTCTTGCAGTTCCTAGCTTTGGCAGTAAGTCCCTCCTCCCTCTATTGCTACTATACCAACTAGTATGGAATTTGCTTTTCTATGATTTTAAACAGGGCTAGTAAAATACACATCCAGGTCTGTGGTGGGTTTCAAGTCCTCAGACATTTTTTTTTCTTTTACAGACAGAAAGGTAAAGAGTTAAATGAGTAATCAAAGTTTTGTGCTGGTGAATGGCAGAGCTATACAAGGTAGAGCCAGTTTCCTGGACTTTTCCCTTGCTGTGCTTATTTAAGAAGGTATAGAAAGATGCCAGGATTAGGCCTTAAAATTCTTAACTATTTTAAGATCAATTAACAGGGAAGAGAATATAGCTTTAAAGTAACTTGGTTTATCTGCTTTTCTTTTTTTTCTTCCACTGTGCCAGTGGAGGAATGGAACAAATAGACTTCAGTCTAGAACTTAGTGAAGTGTAAGAGACAAAAGTAAGGGATAACAAAGATGTAAATGAAATGAACAAACATAACAGGATAGAAAGTGTGATTTCATGAAGTGGGTCAATGTAGAAAAATGCTGATTTAGAGATCCTAGCAATCAATAGGACAGAGTCATTGTAAAGGCCCTGTTGATCTTGAATAAATAATAATAATAATAATAATAATAATAATAATAATAATAATAATAAATAGAGACAGAGAAGAATTGAGCCAAAGAGAATGAAGAACTGTGAACTGAAAGGGGAGACTGTAACAATACCAGTAGGGAACTTTAACATCATGCTTTCAGCAATGGACAAATCATCCAGGGAGAAAATCAGCAAAGAAACAACAAATTTAAACTTCTCCACAGCACATGGAACATCCTCAAGAACAAATCATATGTTAGTCCAAAAAGCAAGTCTTAACTAATTTGATAAGATTGAAAACATCAAGGATCTTTTTTGACCAAAATGGCAGAAAGCTAGAAATCAATAATAAAAGAAACTTCAGGAACCTTACAAATAGATGAAAATTAAACAAAATTCTCTTAAATAGCCAACAAATAGATGAAAAAAATTAAAAGGAAAATTTAAAAGTTCTTGAGACAAACGCAAATGTAAACATAACCTACTGAAACCCATGTAACATAGTAATATCAGCTCTAAGAGAGAAATGAACTGCACTAAATGCATATCTAAAATGAAGAAAGATCACAAATAAACCTCTGAATGTTGCACCTCAAGGAATTAGAAAAAACAAAAGCAACTCAACTCAAAAGGAAGGAAATTATAAAGTTCAGAGTAGAAATAAATGAAATAAAGCCTACAAAAACAAAAGATCAACAAAATGTAAGAGTTTTTGAAAAAAAAAATCAGCAAATCTTTAGCTGCACTAAGAAAAAAAAATCAAAGATGTAAAAGAATACATGACAATAGTATAATAGTCCATTTTGTGCTACTAAGATGAAAGAGAATTCCTGATGCTCGGTAACTTTATTTTAAAAAATGAGGTTTATTTTGGCTGACAGTTCTGATCTAAGATTAAAGACTCACATCTTGTGACAGCCTTATTGCTGGCAGAGTCCCAAAGGAACACAGGGCATAATGTGGAAAGAAATAAGGATCAGGTGTATTTGTATATGTATTTCTGCTGGTCTCTCTTCCTCTTCTTATAAAGCCATCAGTATTCAATCATGAGGGATCCATCCTGATGATCTTATCTAATTCTGATTAATCATTTCTGAAAAGCATCACCTTTGAATACCATAATCAGATTAAGTGTCCACTTTCTTAACTCCTCACAATGGAGATAAATTTCAACACATGATCTCTTGTGAGACACAAACCACATCCAAACCACTTAAAATACACAGAATTTTTCTGATGCCACAGAAATACAAAGGATCATAGGAGAGTATTATGAACAAGTTGGATAATCCAGAAAAAAAGGCCCTGGGCATATACAACCTACCAAGATTGACTGCTGCAGTCTGGCTGGGCACAATTCAGGAGCCACTTGTCAAAAGAAACTAACTTTATTTTTAGAACCACACACGCCAAACAAAACAGCTCCTCAGGAAAACCCCTCAGAGCCCAACTGCCACCACCAGCTTCCCACAAGCCTCTCAACCTCCCCCACTCCTCCTGCTCTTGAGGCCGATTGGCTGGGTCGCATGGGCGGAGCCAAAAAAGTCCCCCAATGAGCAGCTCTGTAGTCTGAAAAGGCGGGGAAACAGCCCAATGAGCATCACCGCAGAGGAGCCAATCAGCTAGAAGTTGCTGGGGCCACTGTGAGCCAATCATCAGCTGGCAGTCTGAAAGTTTCCTGGGGCCCCTTTGGCTGTGGCTCTCAACAATTGACCTATGAAGAAACAGGAAATCTGAACAGAATATAATGAATAAGGAAAATGAATAAGTAATTGAAACTCTCTTATCAAAGTTCAAAACCTGATGACTTCACTGCTGAATTTTACCCAAATACATCAAGAACTATTGCCAATTCTTCTCAAACCATTCCAAAAATTAAAGAGAAAGGAATACCTCCAAACTCATTCTATGAGGTCAACATTTTCCTGATCTATAAACTAGACAAGGACACAAGGAAAAAAGAAAACTACAGAGCAACATCTTTGATAAACATAGGTAGAAAGTTCCTCAATAAAATATTAATAAACTGGCCAGTAGCACAGTAGCACATGCCTGTAAGCCCAGCAGCTTAGGAGGCTGAGACAGAAGGCTGACGAGTTCAGAGCCAGCCTCAGCAATAGTGGGGTGCTAAGCAACTCAGTGAAACCCTGTTCTAAATAAAATACAAAATAGGGCTGGGGATGTGACTCAGTAATTGAGTGCCCCTGAGTTCAATCCCTGGTACCAAAAAAAAAAAAAATTAATAAGCTGAATTCAACAGCACATAGAAAAAGATAATTCACCATGATCAATTAATATTCATCATAGGAATGCAAGTATGGCTCAACATACACAAATCAATAAATGTGATACATTACATTAACAGAATGAAGGACAAAAACATGATAATTCTGATAGATGCAGAAAAAGCATTTGACAAAATTTAACATCACATCATGATTAAAATATCTCTCAACAAATTAGACCTAGAAGGAATGTACTTTAACATAATAAAGGCCATATGTGATGATTCCACAGCTAATATCATGCTGAACAAATAAAAAGTAAAATCTTTTACTATAATCTCTGGAAGACAAGTTTGCTCACTTCCACAAGTTCTATTCAACATAATATTTCAAGTCCTAGTCAGAGCAATTAGGCAAAAGAAGAAAAGAGAGGGAAATACAAATTGAAAAGAAGCTAAATTGTCCTATTTTCAGTCAACATGAGCTTATATAGAGAGAACCCTAAAGATTCCACCAAAAATCTGCTAAATCTATGAACAAATTTAGTAAAGTTGCAGATAGAAAATCAACATATAAAAAGTCAGTAGCATTTCTATATACTAGTAGCAACTGAAAAAACTAAAATATCTGAAAAAAAATCAAGAAAATAATTTACCACAGCTACCAAAAAAATTGGAATAAATTTATCCAGGGAAGTGAAAATTATAAAGTACCGATGAAAGAAATTGAAGAGGTTGTGGATAAATAGACAGAATCCCTGTGTTCATGGGTTGGAAAAAAAAATAATTATCAAAATACCCATCCTACCCAAAGTGATTTACTGCAATTCCTGTCAAATTACCAATGACACTCTTCACAGAAATAGTTAAAGCAATCCCAAAATTTATATGGAAACACAAAAGACTCTAAATAGCCAAAGCAATCTTGAGCAAAAGAACAAAGCTGGACCATACTTCAAAATATACTACAAAACCAAAACAGCATGGCACTGGCATCAAAAATTCTGCAATCTCTATTTGGGGTAAAAATGGGAGTTCATAACCCACTTGAATCTAATGTATGAAATATGATATGTCAA